GTCAGGAGATTGAGACCATACTGGCTAGCATGGTGAAACCCCGTTTCTACTAAAAATACAAAAAAAAAAAAAAAAAATTAGCCGGGCGTGGTGGTGGGCGCCTGTAGTCCCAGCTATTCGGGAGGCTGAAGCAGGAGAATGGCATGAACCCGGGAGGCAGCGGAGGTTGCAGTGAGCTGAGATTGCACCACTGCACTCCAACCTGGGTGACAGGGCAAGACCCCATCTCAAAAAAAAAAAAAAAAAAAAAAGCCCCCCTATGTTTCCCAGGCTGGTCTTGAACTCCTGGGCTCAAGTGATCCTCCTGCCTCAGCCTCCCAAGGTGTTGGGATTATAGGCACGAGCCACTATTCCAAGCCTTAATTAATTTTTTTAGTGACAGAGTCTGATTTTGTTGCCCAGGCTGGAGTGCAATGAAGTACAATCATATAGGTCATTGTAATCTTGAACTCCTGAACTCAAGGGATCCTCTTGTCCCAGCCTCCCAAGTAGCTAAGACTACAGGCACACACCACCACATCTGGCTAATTTTTAAATTAATTAATTTATTTATTTATTTATTTATTAGAGATGGGGATCTCACTATGTTGCCTGGGCTGGTCTTGAACTCCTGGTCTCAAGGGATTCTCCTGCCTTAGGCTCCCGAAGTGCTGAGATTACAGGTGTGAGTCACCGCCAACCAGTTAAAAGCTTTTATAACATCCATCACTCTTGTAATGCAGCACTTATCTCAAGCTACTGTAACTGCATATTTCTCTGCCCTTTTCACTGAAGTGTGAGACTCTTCTAGGCACAGGCTAAATCTTTTCAGCTCAATATCCTCCTATGGGCTGGGGAAGGTGGCTCACGCCTGTAATCCTAGCACTGCGGGAGGCTGAGGCAGGCAGATTGCCTGAGCTCAGGAGTTCAAAACCAGCCTGGACAACTTAGTGAAACCCTGTCTCTACTAAAAATCCAAAAAATTAGCCGGGCATGGTGGTGCTCACCTGTAATCCCAGCTTCTCAGGAGGCTGAGGCAGGAGAATCACTTGAACCTGGGGGGCAAAGTTTGCATGCAGTGAGCCTAGATTGCTCCACTGCACTCCAGCCTGGACGACAGGGCGAAACTCTGTCTCAAAAAATATATCTATATATCTATATCATCTATATCTATATCTATATCATCTATACTTCTATGACTACCACGTAGCCCACTCCATGCTATCCCTCAGGCTGGCCTCGGATCTCCTCTTGGAACATGGTTCCTGCGCTGTCCTGTGCCCTCACCTTCTGCCCTTGGCTGCCATGCTGCTGCCTCACCACCAGAGGGCCTTCCAGCTGGACCTCAGAGACCCTTCTTTTTTTATTATTATTATTATACTTTAAGTTCTAGGGTACATATGCATAATATGCAGGTTTGTTACATATGTATACTTGTGCATGTTGGTGTGCTGCACCCATCAACTCGTCAGCACCCATCAACTCGTCATGCACACGTATGTTTATTGCGGCACTATTCACGATAGCAAAGACTTGGAATCAACCCAAATGTCCATCAGTGACAGACTGGATTAAGAAAATGTGGCACATATACACCATGGAATACTATGCAGCCATAAAAAAGGATGAGTTTGTGTCCTTTGTAGGGATATGGATGCAGCTGGAAACCATCATTCTTAGCAAACTATCACAAGAACAGAAAACCAAACACCGCATGTTCTCACTCATAGGTGGGAACTGAACAATGAGATCACTTGGACTCAGGAAGGGGAACATCACACACCAGAGACCCTTCTTACTACCCCACCCCAGGTTCCAGGCAGCCAGCACTGACTCCCCACCCCCTGCCCCTCAGCCTGCAGAGTACCCTGTGCTTTCTGTGGAGCCATTCATCTGTCTCTCCCTCCATTTGCCTCAGCTAAGGCGGCCTTCCTAGCAAGATCTCAGGGCTGGTCCAGCTTTCCAGCAAAGTTTGGCTTCTGCCAATGTGTGTGTCTGGTCTCTGATAGGGATGCTATCTTTCTGGGAGGCTGTCTTACATCCAAGCTCTCCTCAGGACCAAACAGAAGGACCTCTTTTTCCATTTCCATGTGTCAGAGACCTCCCTAATGACTGCTGTCTGCAAACTCATGTTTGTCCAAGGGCTACATGTAGCTCTTGGTTCATTTGTAGAAGGGGCAGAGCACAAGGTGCTTGTGGAAAGGTGACCACTGAGTGGACCTTTGTGAGACCCTCAGGACCAGGGCTGGTCCTACCTGAGGCCCTGGATCACCTGGAGGGTCCATCAGCCCATCCACTGTTTCTCCCTAGGCCTGAAAGAGGGACCCTCATTCAGGATGAAGCTGAGAACACACTCAGTAGAGAAAGGGGGAGAGAGGTGAATGGAACCATGGCCCAGGCAGTATGGAAAGAGGGCTAGGACCCGGCTGGAGCTCCCTGTGTGTTGGGTCCATGTGACTGTGTCTGTGCTCCCTATATCGTTCCTGTGCACCTTCCATCCATGAAATTCCCTGGGAAAAGGTCGAGTTCTCTCCACCATGCTAAGTGGGGTGAGCAAAAGGAGATGGTTGGGGTTGAGGGCTCAGATGCTCAAGGAGGCAGGGAGCCCCCCAGGGGATGATCATTGGTGATAGTGGTTGAAATCAGAAGGATAGAATTAATGCGGAAGAGTGAGAACCATGGGCCCCACTTGAAAGTCCACTTCCTACTGGCTGTCCACCCCCAGCTCTCCTCAAGCTCTCTGCAGAATCTCAGTGTGGCATCTGTCAAAAAGCTTACATGGATGACCCCCAAACATGGTCATCTCCCCTCCCTTCCCCAGGGCTCCCAGACTCTCCCTCGGGGGTCCTGGGAGAGGTTTACCGGACCTTCCTAGTTTTTGACAGTATAACACTGTCAAGCACATGCAAAGTCTGCCAATAACAAGGGGCCCTTCTGACAAGCAGGGATGTTTTCTCTTCAGGCGCTGCGGTGATGGGTGGGGGTCTCTGCTATGAAGGGGCGGTCTGCAGCCATGAGAAGGCTCTTCAGGCTGGAAAGCTTCACTCCCAAGACCCGCACAACTGAAGAGACCAAGGGGTTACAGGCTGACGGAGCTATCGTGCACACCCTCCCACCCCAGCAGAAGTGGGTAGTTGGCACTGCAGCGATGCCAAGACCGGTTGTTTGGGGGTGGGAGGAGGTCACTGCAGTGATGAAGAATCCCTGCGTGGAGTGAGTGGTCACTGGAGTGGCTGCATGAACTAAAAGTACCTGCAGGGATGGGGGAGGTTTTCTGCGGTGATGAAGAGCACTTTGCAAAGGAAAGGAGCTGGCTTCTTGCGGGAAGAGTCCTGCGGTGACGGTGATGGGGGGCTGAGGTTCGCTGCAGTCAGGAGGGAGGGTCTCTGCAGCGATGGGAAGCCACCCAGGGCAGGGGGTGGGGTGGGCTGGGGAATGGGATGCCGTCCCATTGGATAGCTGGGGTCGCGGCAGTGCGGGTGGCACTTGCAGGACGCCTTATTCCTGAAGAATGGAAAGGGTGGGGTCTCTGAGGCCTCGGTCCCGCAGTGACGGGGATCCGTGCGGCGGCGGGAACGCGGTCCCTGCACTGCGGTGCCCAGTCTGGCTCCGGCTGCCGCGGCTGGCGCGGAGGCGGTACCTCGCCCGAGGGAGGGGGGAGCGCCAGCCCCGCCGCAGCAGCAGCAGGCGGGGCTACGGCAGGCTGGAGGGGCGGCCTCTCAGAACCTGGGCGGGACCACCGCCGGCAGGGCCCGCGCCCCTGCGGGGACTCAGAGCCGCTGCAGCCAGAGTCGCTAGCTGGCGGCCGGCAGGTGCCGGGACCCAGGGCCACCCGGGACGCAGAGGCGGCACTAACCACACGCATCCCGTGGGCGCCTAGAAATCCGCGGAGGACGCGACGGTGAGGCTGAGGCTGCCACTGGGAGGGGGGCGATCCCCAGAGCCAGCCCGCGGCATCCCCTGCGCGGGCCGCGGCGACTGCAGGTGCCCCCTCCTCCCACATCAGCTCTGCCGGGGTGGGAAGCGATGCCCTGGCGGCTCCCATGGACTCTCCCCTGGCCCGACACCTCTCCCGGGCTTGCCTCCGAAGAACCCCTCTTTTCGCTTTCCCAGCTCGTTCTTCCCACCCTTAACCCCTCCACTCCAGCCAGCACCCGGGTCGGATGAGGCACCAGGGAGAGAAAGACCGAGGCCCTTTCGGCGCCCCCTCCACCCTGTCCCCGCCGTCCCTCGCCGGGCCAGAGGCCTCGGGGGGTGGAATTCGGGCCCTTTAAACCTCCGCTCTCCCGGAGCATCTTCCATCTCCACCCGCGCCGCTTCCGACAGCTGGCGGCCGCGGGGAGCCCCGGGGGGCCGGCAGGTACGGGGGTGGCAGCGAGGTTGGGAGCGGGCGGTGGAACAGCTGTGACCGCCCCCACCCCCGGGGGAGCCTCGGCGGGACTGCTGGGCGCCCGAGCGCGCGTTAATCATTAACCCTCCGCGGCCCGGCTGACCAGGTAACGCGTGAGGATGCCCCCCTCGCCTCCACGCCCTCCGCCCCCTTATCTCCCCCGCCACCTGTCGCCCGCAGGAGCCCCCGCTCGGCCTCGCGCCCCGACAGGCCCCGTCCGGGCGTTGGAGTGAGACTCTCGCGCTGGCCTCTGGAGCGCGGTTTGGGCGCCCCATCACCTTGCGCCCAGCTCCCCGGGCCGGTTCGCGTAGAGCCGGCCTCCCGGCGCCATGCCCGGCCTGTACTGCCCCTCCAGCTGGACGCCGCTGCCGCTCACGGACTCCTGGGTCCGGGCCTGCGCCAACGGCCCCTGCCTCAGCGTGCGGGCCCGGCTCACCTACCGCAACCCGCAGCCGCACCCGGTGGACGGTGAGGCCCGGGTGGGGCGCGGGCGGGGCGGGGGGTGAACCGGGCGGGGTCAGACGCCACCTCCCGCCGCCCTCCGCAGGCGTGTTCGTGTACCCGCTGGCCGAGGCCGAGGTGGTGTCCGGCTTCGAGGCCGAGGCCGCCGGACGGCGCGTCTCCTTCCAGCTGCAGAGTCGGCGCCGCTCGCAGGCCGCCTGCTGCCGCGCTCTGGGCCCCGGGTTGGGGACCCCGACGCCCCGCCGCTGCGCGCAGGGTGAGTCCGACGCTCCAGCACCTGCGCTCCTGAAGGCCCGGCGCAGCTCAGGCTCCCGCACCTGCTCGGCCTACGCCCGTCCCCCGCCTTCCTCCAGGCGCTGCCTTGTGCATTCATTGGCTCATCCTCGTATTCAACAGTCGTGGGCTGGGCACCTGACCTGTGCCAGGTGCTGGGAGAACATGACCCTGAGGTTCACAGCCAGGGAGACAGACACAGCAGGCAGCACAGGGCTTGCGGGGGCCCCAGCAGCCCTTACAGCCCAGGAGACGGGTCTCTCTAGGGGGCTGCAAAGGGAGCCTTCTCCCCAGCTGGTCCCCTCCGCCCCCTTACTTTTTTAGGCTGCACACCTCAGCCAGGTCCCGCGTGGGCCAGTGGATCAAGTGTAGACTCCTGTGCCTAGCAGCCAAGGCCCTCAGTTTCACCCCATTCCATCCCTCTCCCCGCGATCCCACACACCAGGTACCACCGCCACTGGCCACACTGACTGACAGGTCCCTTCCTACCTCTGTGCTCTGTCTTCCCATCTTCTACTGAGCAAACTCCTACTTGTCCTTTAAGATCCACTAAACGTCACTCCTTGGGAAACTCTCCCTGACTCCCCCACAAATAATTAGCTGCACTGTTGCCTGGCTCCCCAGCCTTTTATGCCCCCTCCATTATGGCACTTACAGGGGGAGTCATTGTCACAGATCTGCCTGTCTGTCTCCCCGCTGGAGCATCTCCAAATCCCAGCACCTCACACAGAACCTGGCACTATGAGACCCAGCGAGTGCCTGGGGAAGGGACAGAAGCCCAGCCCTGTGCTGTGCGCTGTGTTTGCACCTGGTTCTTTCATTGATTCATTCATACATGCCTTTGATTCCTGCCCATGGGATTTACAATCCAGGTAAGAAGAGGAACAGAATCTGGTGGTGTTGAGAGCTGGCATAAGCCCAGCAGGTTGGGAGACTCATGGTTAGAGGCTAGAGTGAGCTCTGGGGTGAGGCCCCAGGAATGTTCCAAAAGGAGGGAGAGCCAGCATTTGTCTGCAAGAAAGGGTAGGACTCAGTTAGGTGGAAGGTAGGGGCAACAGTATAAGCAAATGCTTATAAGTAGGTTATAGTGGGTAATGACAATAAAATGCCTCATGTTTACAGTGATTTACAGTTTACAATTGCTAGTATCACCTCATTTGAATCCTGAGTAGTGGGTAATGCTGGCTTCTTCCTGTTATGAGGGATGGAAGGGCGATAATCCCCCTCCCTCCTGTTATGGGGGTTGAAAGTCATAGCTGGGGTCACTGACTTACATGTTGGGTGCTTTGCATACCTCATTTGTTCCTCCCCACAATCACAGAGTTATTATGATCCCCACTTTATGGATGAGGAAACAGGCTCCTCAGAACAAGACAGTTGCCAAAGGACTCAATTAGAGGTCACAGAGCTGATATTTAAAACCTGATGCTGTGCTCTCTCCACTATGTCAATTGGCTGGAATGGAAGCCCCTTTCTTTTTCTCTTTCCATCTTTTTCTTCCCTTCAGTTATTCAGCAAGTATTTATTGAAAGGATGAACAATTGGTCATTGTGAGGAAGTGAGGTACAGTAGGGCTGTGAAGGTGGGCTGGGGCCAGACCACGTCGGTGGTGTACACAGCTGCCACTGTACACGGCTGGTCATTATTCCTTTAGCAGCCCCACGAGTCCCCAAAGAAACCTAGGAGCTAAATAAAACAGTGAGTGCAGTGTGCAAATGGAGCTTTATGTCCTCTAGCCTGCTTCCTGCTTCTTTGTTCCTCCTGCCTGGGAGGAATAGATAATTCTGGAGCCACCTTAGTGGGCAATGGGGGAGCTCCTGATGGTTCATGAGCAGGAGATTTATGAGTAGAGTGGGGTCCCAGGCTACAGGGAGATGTCTATCCACAAGGGATGGTGGCCAAGGGCTGAATGGAAAGAGGCAGGCAGGGGGAGAGGGGCAGAGGGTGTGGGTATTCCCAGGGCCTTGAGAGTGGACATGGCCCCTTCTCTTCAGCCTTCCATTAGCAAGGATGTCACTGAGCTCTTGCCTGATGACAGCCAGATCTTTCCACAGTTAGTCTGCCTCTCCTGCTATCATTCATCTCATGCCTCCATCCTGTGTCACCAATGCATTAGCCTAGTGCCAACACGCAAAGTCCCCTTTGCCCAGGCTCCCTGACCCGATGCCTGCTCCCACCTCTAGCTTCCTCCCTCTTCTCTGCTCCCGGCGTGCTCTGACCCCATTTCTCACCCATCATAGGTCATCTTGTCTTGGATCTGGCCCAGGCCCGGTCCACGTTGGTGCTGCCCACAGGCCTTATCGCCGCGGCTGGCACCATGACGGTGACCCTGCACAGCAGCCGGGAGCTGCCCTCAAGGCCTGACGGGGTGCTGCATGTGGCCCTGCCCACTGTGCTCACCCCACTGGCCCCGCCAGGCCCGCCGGGGCCCCCCAGGCCTCCGGGGCTCTGTGACGACAGGTTGGGCCTATGGTGATTCTCTTCGTCCCTCCCTCGGCTGCTCTGGGTCTAGTGCGGGTGAGGGGGCATTGGCAGGGTACCCCAGGGGATGGGAAGGGTGAGGAAGGGCTGGGGCCAGTCAGCCGGAGGGGTTAGGGGCCTTCACGGTGGCCCAGTGACCCTCCTCGTGCTCCCTTCCAGCCCCACCAGCTGCTTCGGGGTGGGCAGCCCTCAGGAGGAAGGGCTGGCGTGGGAGGAGCCAGCTGCCCCTCAGGACGTGTTCTCAGGCCCTGCCCGATGCCCTGCCCCATATACCTTCTCCTTCGAGATGCTGGTGACTGGGCCATGCCTGCTTGCAGGTGGGTGCATCTGGCTGGCCTGCCCTCTTTTCAGATGCCCACTCCTCCCAGTGTAGTGACTGGAAAGGAAATAAGGCTCAGGGATAGGAGGGACACAGGACAAAAAGACAGGGATCCAAGCCTCAAGAACATCTGGGTTAGCAGTGGGAGCATCCCCTGGTCATCTCTACCTAACACACACACCCCTAATTTTATCAAGGTAATTTATTTATATCTCATCTCACCCACCAGTGGGAAGAGAGATACTACAATGGGACCAGTACCCGTGAGGAAGTAGCTTTTCCTTATGCAGAAGGTGGGGGGTGGATGCTAAATCAGCACCTGGCTGATGCATGACTCTTCAACCAGCCAGAAACCCAGCTGGAATCTACTTCCCTGCCCATGAAAGCAGGCACATCCTCCCTCGTCCATCTGACCCCTATAGATCAGACTCTGAGAGCTGATTGAATCAGCCATGACCCCTGCCAACAGTTGCTGTCCCTGGGAAGGTGTGATGGCTGCATCTCCCCTTCCTGCCTCTGTGTCCCTCAGGCCTGGAGAGCCCCTCTCATGCCCTGCGGGCAGATGCCCCCCCTCATGCCAGCTCTGCAGCCACCATCTGTGTCACACTGGCAGAGGGCCACCACTGTGACCGGGCCTTGGAGATCCTGCTACACCCCAGTGGTGAGAGACTGGGACACACCGTGGGTCACCCCTGACTTGCTTCTGTATGAATGGGGGAAGCATTTCTCAAGTACAGGTTTCTGGGCCCCAGCCAGATGGACTGAGTCATCTGTGAGGGCGGAGCCTGTGGTGTAGGAAGGCTGGACCTGCAGGCTCCTCCCAGACAGTGAAACTGGGCACTTGGGGTCCAGAGGCAGGGACTTCCTTGACAGAATTGTGTCCTCTCCTCTCAGAGCCCCATCAGCCACACCTGATGCTGGAGGGCGGCAGCCTGAGCTCAGCAGAATATGAGGCCCGGGTAAGGGCCCGCCGAGATTTCCAGAGGCTACAGCGAAGGGACAGTGATGGGGACCGGCAGGTACTGCCATAGGAGCCTGGCCTGGCCCCCGGCCTTGGCTGCATTTGTGCACAAGGAGCAGGCAAGCAGGCTCACATTGGGATGGGCACGGGGAGGCCTCTTTCTCAGCAAGATCTCTCCACAGCTGCCACCCCCCATCACAGAAGGCAGATGAGTACTGTCACTGGAGGGCTGATGTGAATCTTTTTTTTTTTTTTTTTTTTGAGACGGAGTCTCGCTCTGTCGCCCAGGCTGGAGTGCAGTGGCCGGATCTCAGCTCACTGCAAGCTCCGCCTCCCAGGTTCACGCCATTCTCCTGCCTCAGCCTCCCGAGTAGCTGGGACTACAGGCGCCCGCCACCTCGCCCGGCTAGTTTTTTGTATTTTTTTTTTTAGTAGAGACGGGGTTTCACCGTGTTAGCCAGGATGGTCTCGATCTCCTGACCTCGTGATCCGCCCGTCTCGGCCTCCCAAAGTGCTGGGATTACAGGCTTGAGCCACCGCGCCCGGCCGCTGATGTGAATCTTTCTGGGGTGTGTCTCAGAGGATGGAGGCTAGGTCTGATATAAACAGAGGACAGCCACCAGCCGTTGCCCCTGCCTTTATTCTAATTACTACAAAAAGATATCCCCTCTGGGTGGATCAGAGAGAAAAAGGCCCCAGAACCAATCCCACTGCCCAGCCTCAACAAAGTAGCACTAAGCCTTGCCCAGGCTGATTTGGGACTCCCCTGCTCAGGTGTGGTTCCTGCAGCGACGCTTCCACAAGGACATCCTGCTGAACCCTGTGCTGGTGCTGAGCTTCTGCCCGGACCTGAGCTCCAAGCCCGGACACCTGGGGACAGCTACTCGGGAGATACTCTTCCTGTTGGATGGCAGCAGCGCGGCACACAAGGCCCGTGCGGGTGTGGTGTGGGCAGGCCTGGGGGTGGGGTGGGGCAGTAGGTCTGTGGTGGGCTGGGGGCAGCCTCTTGAAGCCAGGAGTTACCTTGTTGCTTCAAACACCATCTTCCAAAGAGGAAGCAGATGGCAACTCCTCAGGGGATTCCTGTAGAGAGCAGCCTTGCTGCAACCGCCAAACAGACACTGTCACGCTCTCTTGCTCATATTCACGCACACACATGTCTCTCCAGGATTCCAAGAGCCTCTCATACATAGACTCGCACTCAGTCACAGGGAGTCACTCCAATCACGGGGAGACTCAAGTTTCATGTATACCTCCAGAGTCCCACACAGAGTCTCTCACACACACTCGGGGACTCACTGGCACAGAGGCTTTCCCTAACATCCAGGACCTCTCCCAGGTTACCACAGCCTCTCATTTGAATCACAGCCTGGATAAGGCAGCGATCTGGCTTCCCTTGCTCTCTATCAGGGCCCATGGGGCCGGCCTCATGCCGCCCTCCCTGGCTCTCCACAGGATGCCATTGTTTTGGCTGTGAAGTCCCTCCCGCCTCAGACGCTTATCAACCTGGCCGTGTTTGGGACGTTGGTGCAGCCACTCTTCCCAGAGAGCCGGCCTTGCAGTGATGTGAGTGTGGTCCAGGGATTCTGGGGGTCTTACATAGAGGTTTCAGCCCAGTGCGTCCCAGCCTGTGCCTTCTCTCTCCAGGACGCTGTGCAGCTGATCTGTGAGACCATTGAGACCCTGAAGATTCCGAGCGGGCCTCCAGACGTGCTGGCTGCTCTGGACTGGGCCATGGGGCAGCCCCAGCACAGGGCCTACCCTCGGCAGCTGTTCCTGCTCACTGCTGCCTCACCCATGGCTGCCACTACCCACCGAACCCTGGAGCTCATGAGGTGGCACAGGGGGACAGCCAGGTATGGGATGGGCAGAGCCAGATGCCTAAGATTGAGCCCCCACAAGGGGCTCCTGAAGATCACAGCTGCTTCCTTTCCCTCATCAGATGCTTCTCCTTTGGGCTGGGGCCCACCTGCCACCAGCTGCTCCAGGGTTTATCTGCCCTCAGCAGGGGCCAGGCCTACTTCCTGAGGCCTGGGCAGAGGCTGCAGCCCATGGTGAGCTTGAGCCTGGGCCCTGTTCCCTACACCTGAAAGTTTTTCTTCCAAGTTACACATCAAGTCTGAAACAGAACTCAGGCAGGCCATGGGGGCTCCTGGCGCCCTCACCAGGCCTTCTCCCCACTCCACCAGGGAAGAGCTGTCGGTGCTGTGAAGGCCAAAGGTGTCGGGACACTGTCTCTGACCACCCTCTGAATCTCATTTAGTCCTGGAACTGAGCCTCATCTTCACAGTCCTGCCCCATCCATGTGGCAAAGCTCAGGCCAGGAGACAGACCAAATCCTGAGAACTGAGCACTCAGGCCCCCTGCTTGCTCCTACCCTCATTCCTTCTCCTGACCCCAGCCTGAACCTGTGCCCCATCAGCTCAGGGGCTGGGCAGATGGCATCAAGGGAAGGGCAGCCTTCCTCCTGTGTCTGGCTGTATGACACCTCTTTCCCTCCCATGTCCTCCCTCTGGCTACCCCACAGCTGGTGCAGGCTCTGCGGAAGGCACTGGAGCCTGCCCTGAGTGATATCTCTGTGGACTGGTTTGTGCCCGACACCGTGGAGGCACTGCTGACCCCCCGGGAGATCCCAGCACTCTACCCTGGGGACCAGCTCCTCGGTTACTGCTCACTCTTCAGGGTGGATGGCTTCCGGCCCTGCCCACCAGGGGTAGGCCTGGGCTAGGGTATGGTAGGGGGGCTAGGGTGTGGTAGGGGGGCCTGGGATGGCTGAAGTCCCCGCATCTCTTCCAAACCCTTTTTCCATTCTCTGTGCCTCTCTCTACCAAGCTCCTCTACTATCCCCTAGGGCTCCACAGAGATCACACTGGGTCCCCCAAGATGACCACACCCTGCCGCCTTCATGGGGTCTTCCACTGAGTTGTCCTGCAAAGTGTTGCCCCTGATTTTTTACCCAAGGTCATTAAAGCACACAGCCACAGAAAACAGCACCCGCATTTGCTATGAGGTTTCTGTCAAGGCTTGCTCAAGGCTTCACATAGTTCCCTACAGAAAGCACCAGCCAATGTATTTTCTGGGACACGCAGTTATGGATGAGCATAACCTAGGCGCAATCTCTAATCCCAGCTCTCTCACTTGCCAGCCATTTGATTTGAGCAAGTCACTTCACCTCACTGACCCATTTCCTCATATGGAAATGATGTTGTTCACAGGTGGCTGTCATCAGGGGTCATAAAGTGAGTAGTCTTGGCAGGACACTTGACACAGTAGGAGCTGGAGACATGGTAGTTATTTTTTAATGAAAAGCCTTATCTCTTTAGAAGAACTATGCATACTTCCTCCTTTTTGATCATGAGAGCTGTATAATAGACTTTTTTTTTTTTTTTTTTTTTGGCCTGGCTGCCAGGGAGCTCAGGGCCAAACTTAAAGCTCAGCTTCCCAGCAGCTCTATTAAGCCTTACGGTGAACATGTTTGCTTCCTCCTTCTTTAGTATTGGTCTTTTGTTTCTGGTTTATTAGCTTTGTTGCCTCTTGCTATAAGCCATCTAAAAATCCTGTTTGGAAAGAGGTAGCATATAACTGCAGCTAATTTTTTCCCAATAATACTCTCTCTAGGGCCAAGAGCCTGGCTGGCAGAGCTTGGGTGGGTCCGTGTTTCCATCCCCAGAAGAGGCCCCATCTGCTGCCAGCCCTGGCACTGAGCCCACTGGCACCTCGGAGCCACTGGGAACAGGCACCGTGTCAGCAGAACTGTCCAGCCCATGGGCTGCCGGGGACTTGGAGCGGAGTGAGTGCCCAGGTGTATGTGTGTGGCTATGTTGGAGTGGGTATTGGGAGGGGTCAGGGCTGGGGTCCATTCTACTGCCTCCCAGCAGGTACTGATGCTCTGACAGACCCAGTCACGGATCCTGGACCCAACCCCTCCTCTGACACAGCCATATGGCGCCGCATCTTCCAGTCCTCGTACATTCGGGAGCAGTATGTGCTCACCCACTGCTCTGCCAGCCCCGAGCCAGGCCCAGGCTCCACAGGCAGCAGTGAGTCCCCAGGCTCCCAGGGCCCTGGCTCCCCCGAAGGTAGTGCTCCCCTGGAGCCCCCTTCTCAGCAAGGTTGTCGCAGTCTGGCCTGGGGAGAACCTGCAGGCTCCCGCTCCTGTCCCCTGCCTGCACCCACACTGGCTCCATTCAAGGTATGATCCAACCCACATTCATTCACCTTGTATCCAGCAAATATTTATTTACCACCTGCTGTGTGCCAGACATTATGTGGAGCTTACTATTAAGTCTAGCTAGAGAGAAAGGTGGGTAAATCCCCAATGATAATACCATGTAACAACCAGTGATGAGCACAAGGACATGTATTATGGGGGCTTAAAGTCAGGGTGACTAACTCCGCTTGAGGGACTCAGGAAAGTCAGAGCCATATCTGGAAGAATAAGCACAAGGTAGTCATGCAGAGAGGGAGAAGACATAAACGAAAACAGAGACAAGCAACAACCACAAGTGGGAAATAGGAAGTGGAGTGGGATGACGCTGGGAAGGGGCCAAGGCCAGAGGTCATTATAGGCCATAAGGAACTTGGCCTTTCTCCTCAAGGTGGTGAGTGGCCACCCAGGGTTTCAGACAAGGGGCATGGGCCAGCTGTGCACCCATGTATGATGGTCAGGGGTTCTGCATTCCTTGACCAGTGGCCCCCATATCTCACATTGCAGGTGGGGGCCTTGAGTACTGAGGTGCTGGGCCGTCAGCACAGAGCGGCTCTGGCTGGCCGAAGCCTCTCTTCACCTCCAGGCCGGGCAAACCAAGTCCCCGGCCGACCTCGGAAACCCTCTTTGGGTGCAATACTAGATGGCCCAAGTCCTGAGCCAGGCCAACAATCGGGACAAGGCCTGGATGACTCAGGTAAGTGTTGGATGGGGAGCTGGTTTCCCTGACACCAAGGAGGCCTTGGGGAGGTAAATCCCAGAGGACCACTCTGCTCATGCCCCTGTCTTGCCTTCCCAGGAAGCCTGCTCTCCCCAGCCCCCATGGACTGGGACATGCTGATGGAACCACCCTTCTTATTCACGGCTGTGCCTCCCAGTGGGGAGTCGGCCCCTCCGGCAGTGCCTCCCCAGGCTCCACGCTGCCATGTGGTGATCCGGGGCCTGTGTGGGGAGCAGCCTATGTGCTGGGAGGTGGGTGTTGGGCTGGAGACACTGTGGGGACCTGGAGATGGCTCACAGCCTCCCTCACCTCCTGTAAGAGAAGCTGCTTGGGACCAAGCACTCCATCGGCTGACAGCAGCCTCTGTGGTCCGGGACAATGAGCAGCTGGCCCTCCGAGGAGGGGCCGAGACCACAGCAGACCGGGGTGAGTGGCTCATGGGTCCAGTCAGGGCCCAAAGGCATGGGCTAAAAGCAGCAAAGGTAGAGGTCTGTGTGTTTGGTCACTCTCCATACCTCACTTTCATCACAAAGGATTTGAGGCTCATGACAGACAAGATAAAAAATTAAGCAGGGCAATGGGAAAAAGTAAAAAAAAAAGGAAACTGAGAATGAGGTTATATTATATTAAAGGTGCATGCTGTGAGGTGATACACTCTTGCAAGGATCGGATCCAGGACTGACAAGCTTCCTAGCAGCCAGCTCAGAGGGCAATGTGATCCTGTAATGATTCAGAGTTGTTTTAACCCACACATTAAAACAAATCTTTGTCATTTAGGAAAATACTTAGAGTTCATTTCCTCAGTTGCACTAGCCACAGCTGAAGTACTCAATAGTCTTATGTGACTAGTGGCTACCACACTGGATCACGAAGAGAGAATATTTCCAACTTCTGTTAGTGCAGAAATAGGTGGAAGAAAAGGTGCTTCCTCTGGGTGGTGTCCAGAGTGCTGAATTCTGGGCAGCCAGGGGGCCCTTGTTCTGCTACGGGTTGAAGGTTCAGCCTGACCACTTCTTGTCAAAGTCGGGGAGTCTGAGCTGGTTCTGGGCCTAGCAAGGCAATCTACTCTGTTAAAGTCGATAGAGGGAGAAGCTGGGGAGAACACTGCAATTTTTTCTATGAGCCCTCTGTAGAGGGTGGGTGGTAAGGGTTCCACAGACCGCTCCTTGGTTCCACAGGCCATGCCCGGAGGTGCTGGCTTCGAGCCCTTCAGACAAGTAAGGTCAGCTCTGCCCCTTCCTGCTTCACTTGCCCTGTAGCTGTGGATGCTACCACTAGGGAGGTCCTGCCTGGGGTCCTGCAGGTGTGCAGCTCAGGTAGGGGCCTCTTCTGGTGACCTCTCAGGTGCAGCTCTCACCTCACTGGCCACTCTCCTGGACAAACCTGACTCCTGTCCCCTGTGCCCCTGCAGAACCAGCTGAGCCCCCAGGAACCCCTCCTGCCGCTCACAGCCGTCTAGATGCAGCTCCTCTGCCTACTGTTGTCTACTCTAAAGGTAGGGAAAGGGTAGGGGCACTTGGACTTAGAGACCACCCGCTGGCACTGATGATCCCCACTGCAGGACTTCAGGGAGGCTCTCCAGCAGGCGCCTGGGACTCGGACCGAAATGGCAACTCCAAGTGTGCTTTGGAGGACGCTGCCACTCCCATGGAAGGTCCTCGCCGCCCACCTCCCCGTCCTCCCTCTCGGCTTAGCCTGGGCCGCCGTCACAAACTCTGTAGACCTGACCTGGGCCAGGCCAACAACAGTGAAGGCATCGACCATGACTACCTGCCCCTGGTGAGGACTCGGGAGGTGGAGGGTGGCGCCGCCGGGGCCAGGCGCTGTCTAAGCTCGCTTCTCCCCCCACCTCCTCTCTCCTCAGGTGCGGCTGCAGGAGGCACCAGGCTCCTTCCGCCTGGACGCGCCCTTCTGTGCCGCTGTGCGCATCTCGCAGGAGCGCCTCTGCCGCGCCTCGCCCTTTGCCGTGCACCGTGCCAGCCTCAGCCCCACCTCGGCCTCATTGCCCTGGGCACTTCTAGGCCCTGGTGTTGGTCAGGGTGACAGTGCCACAGCCTCCTGCAGCCCATCCCCCAGCTCGGGCTCCGAGGGTCCGGGCCAGGTGGACAGTGGGCGGGGCTCAGATACCGAGGCCTCGGAGGGGGCGGAAGGGCTGGGCGGCACCGACCTGCGGGGCCGGACCTGGGCCACTGCCGTGGCGCTCGCCTGGCTAGAGCACCGATGCGCTGCTGCCTTTGGCGAGTGGGAACTGACAGCAGCCAAGGCTGATTGCTGGCTGCGGGCCCAGCACTTGCCTGACGGCCTTGATCTGGCCGCCCTCAAGGCCGCAGCCCGGGGGCTCTTCCTGCTACTGCGCCACTGGGACCAGAACCTGCAGCTACACCTGCTGTGCTACAGCCCAGCAAACGTGTGAAGGCTGCCCGCTGCTGCTTGGGTTGGCGCCCCACCCAACACACTAGACACTGCCGCCCAGGACTGGCCTCTTGGTGCTGGGAAGGTGTAGGCTGGTGCCAGCCTGTCCCCCACTGCTTCTTACTCCCTCCCTAGAGCCCTCTTGCCCCCACAAGAAGTGCCTGCCTGTGCTCTCTCCCGCTCCTCCCACCCCACACACCCTCCCCTCCATCCTCTGAGCTCCCTGCAGCACAGTGGAAGGGGAGAGAGCCACAGTCCCCAAATCCTATGCAATAAAGTGCCTCTTAGGACTGCTTGAGTGAATTCTTTATCTGTCCCACACATGTCCCTCACAGCCTGGACCAGGCATCAGTTGCCCCTACCTCCAAGTAGGTTGCACAGAGGTGGACTTAGCAAGGTTTATTTGGAAGGGCACAGAGTCCATCCCACCCCAGGTCCTGAGAGTAGACTGGAGGGAAAGGGGTGGATTTCAGTGAGCTTTCTTGCTGTGTTGGGTGCTCTTGGGGAAAGGCTGCAGGCCCAGCCAGAGCTGCAGCAGGATGACAGCATGGCATACATGCAGGGCAGCAGAGCTGCAGGATGTGGAGGGGTATGTGTTCCAGGAGAGCTCGATGAGCCCCAGCACCAACAACCTGGAGATGAGAAACAGGCTCCACGTTTTATCCAGTTTCAAGGCCTGCAGACCAGCAGCATGCCCTAGACATAAACCCCCAACAGGAACTCCCTATCCCTTCCCACTCCCCAGGTTGTCCCAGCTGGTACCTGAGCAGGTGTGTGAGCCAGCGTGCAGGCGTGGCCCACAGGAGGTAGGGCAGTGTGTGGAAATACCAGACATAGAACTGGTAGTGGAGGGAGCGGCTGAAGCAGATGCCAATGAAGTTGGAGGTGAAGAGGGTAGAAACAATCTGTATGCGGCGGTCAAGGCCAAGGGCAGGAGTGTGTGAGTTGGGGGCTATCCCAAAACAGAGGGGCAATAGTTTTTAGGTCACATAGCCCCCCGGCTCTGCCATTCCTTGATGCATGCCTTTGGACAAGTTTATTAACCTCTCTGGATCTGCTCCTCAACAGAATATGGAATATGGAGAGTAATACCTGGGGCCATAAGGCCTTGTAGGTTTGAACCCCTAACGTACTGGCTGTGTGACCTTGGTAAGTTACTTAACCTCATGAAGTCTTATTTTTTCCATCTGTAAAGGAAAATAGTAAATGTAAGTGTACCTCCCTATCTCGGAGTCTCTTGTGAGCTTTAAATGTTAGAACATATGTGAATCTCTTATGATAGTACCAGGGAGAGGTACTTGTAAGAGTAGCTCGTATTTAGAATTAAGAATCAAATATACCTCAATATGTGAAGTGCTCAGCACAGTGGTGCAGAATAGGACTTCTATGATTGGGGTCCCCTTTCCTCACCCAGGTCACCAGCTGTCAGGGGATACCTGACCAGGACTCTGTCAGCACCTAGAGAGGGCAAGACTTACCTTCCCACAATTTAAAGGATATGGTTAGGTGTAAGGGGCTGGGGTGGAACCTTCCTTTTGGAGGGGTCCCTCAGGAGCGACAAGATACTTTCTCCTGTCCTGGGGAAAAGCCATTCAGACAGTTATCAAGCCTCTATTGTGAGTCAAACTCTAGACTCACCCCATGAGTTTAACTGACACTTCCCCCAAGCAGCCCCTAAGGCTTAGGCCCTTCACTCCTTCCCCCAACTCTGCCCACGGCACTACCACCTTTTCTCACCTGTGCCACCTGCAGAGGGCAAACAGCAGGAGTAGGGTGAGGTGGGCAGCCAACAGGGCCAGGTGGAAGGCTCGATGCAGGAAGAGAGCCTCCGGGAGGAAGCGCCAGTTCACTGTCCAGCGGAACAGAAACTGGCGGCCAAGGTCAAAGGAGCGGGACAGGTAGCCGATGGGGTTCTCCAGCAGGAAGGGCAGCCCCAGCACCACCTGAGGGTCGGTGTGATGTCAGCAGAGCTGCCAAGGCCCGTTCCCAATGACCAGCCTTCACGCTACTCATTGAGGGGTGTGGGACTGGGATGTAGGCCTCAGAGGTTCCCCAATTCCCACCAGAAATAGCAGGAAAACCACGCCCCCTGCCCCCACCTCAGGCCAGTGCCTGGGGCCAAAGAAGCTCAGGAGGGAAGTCATAACAATGCTTTAAGGTGTGGATTCACCAAGTCATAAATGGGCAGAGCAAGGAAAGCTCTCAGAAGCCAGGCAGGGTGGCTCATGCCCGTAATCCCAGCACTTTGGGAGGCCAAGGCAGGAGGATTGCTTGAACCCAGGAATTTGAGACCAGCCTGGGCAACCCAGCAAGAACCCATCTCAAAACTTAAAATTACAGGCGGGCGGGTCACAAGGTCAGGAGATTGAGACCATCCTGGTGAACACAGTGAAACCCTGTCTCTACTGAAAATACAAAAAAATTAGCCAGGAGCGGTGGCAGGCGCCTGTAGTCCCAGCTGCTAGGGAAGCTGAGGCAGGAGAATGGCGTGAACCCAGGAGGCGGCAGAGCTTGAAGTGAGCGGAGATGGCGCCACTGCACTCCAGCCTGGGCAAAAGAGCGAGACTCCGTCTCAAAAAAAACAAAAAACAAAAAACTTAAAATTAAAAAAATAAAAAGGCTCTCAGAGACCATCAAATGTAATACCCTATTTTACAGCTATGGAAACTATAGCCTAGAGATAGTAGCTTCCTAGCTCAGGATCAACTCCAAAACCCTGTCTCTTGGCTTTGAGGGAGTCTCAAGGATAGATCCCCTCAATCAAGACAAGTGGCTTCTCCTTGATTAGAAAGAGGAAGGGTGAGGTGGGGGTACCTGAAGGCCAGCACAGATGCCCAGCTTGGGGAGGGCCCCACGGAAGCCAAACTGCGTGAGGAGAAGAAACAGTAACCCAGGGGCGAAGAGGAGCACATTCATCTTCACAGAGACTGCCAGGCTGGGGTGAGCAGGGGAGAGGAAGGGTGGAGATCAGCTCCAGGGCCATGCACACAACACCCAAATACATACCTCCCACCATCACCACAGCAACCTCCTCCTGCCGCCACGCCAGCAAACTCCAGGATGGGACCTACACTCACAACTGTTGAAGGGAAGAGCCTGGAGTAGGCAGGGGCCAGATACATAGTCTCTATGCCTACTATATGCAAATAAGCATAAACTAAGTATTTAGAATGTGAAGGACTAATTCCAACAATGAATGCTGTCTGGGAGGAAGACAGGATGGAAAGAGGGCATGTGTGTATGTGGGGGGATGGCAGGGCAGAAACTTTCTATAGATCCTGGACTCGCTTTGTAGAGCCCTGAGTGGCCCACGCTGTCTTGGCTACTCCTTTACTCCCTCTGCTGCAGGAAATTGGGGAGAGAAGGAAATGCAGAAAATGAGAGAGGGGGCCAGAAGGAAGAGGTGTTGACCTGAAAAAGCAGCAGCCCCAGCCCCAGCGCTGGGCCAACAGGAGGTTGATACTGAGGAAGAGCAGCACCATAGCCACTGGGTCATTGAAGAGCCGCAGCACAAAGATGGAGTGGACACGGTAAGAGGCGCAGCACATGAAGAAAAAGACGAAGGGAGGTACCTAAAGGGTGAACACAGTAAGGAACAAGGTCAGCTCAGCAAGCCTGAGCCATCCCCACCACCCAGCCCTCCCAGGCTGGGGCCCTCTAGCCCCGGTAGCATGGATTCACCTTGCAGGTCTGGTGATAGATCAAGAAAACAAGCAGCAAGGTGGCCAGGTAGAGCACAGCAAAGATGTTCTGGGCCATGCGGATGTCAGTGCCTCGGCCAGTGGCATAGTACAGCCCCATAAAGATGTACACGAAACCAGCTGGGTACCTGGAAGATGAGAGAAAATGTGAGCCTGGGTCAGGCCACACAGACTAGTACCTAACCAGCCCCTCACATCCTTTCTGAACTTCCTGACCCCACTCACACAAGTGGTCCGGTGTCACCCTGCAGTTGGGTATAGTCATAGGTACCATTGATGACGCCTTCTACCTGGGCCATGTATGCCTTCCAGTCAATCTCTGTGTCTGGAAGAAGACAAGATGATCTGGTTACTTCTGAGTCTAGAACTTGTCTGCCACCCTCCCCATGCCTCCAGACCATCAAAACACAGACTTTCAGCCAATTCCCAGGGCTTCACTACCTCTTAATCTAACTCTTTATCTGACATTCTCTGGGTGAGCCCAGGCATCTCAAATTCAACATTTCTGTAAGTGAACTCGTGATCTTTCTTCCCACTCCAATCTACTCCCCTTCCTGGGTTCCACAGATGTCACCACTGACCTCTTAGCTACCAGGTCATGAACCTGAGTAATATCTTTGATACTCCCTCCTCTCTCATTTCCAACCCTTCATCACCAAGTTCTGCCTGCTCCTCACCATAAATATTTCTATCTCATCCTTCTCTGCTACTACATACTTGGAGCCTAAAGTAATCTCTAGCCCCAGTGATTATATAATAGCCTGCTAATTAGGCCCCTGACTTCTACTTTTACCCTACTACGATGTATTTTCCACCTTGTACACCAAAGAGTTCTTCCTGAAATACAAATCATAACAGGCCTCTGCTAAAACCTCTCAATGATTTCCCAAGACCCTTAAGATAAAGAAAACTCTGTATTATTCCCCTTTTTAGAAAGGGAGCTTAAGAATTAATTAGGTTAAGTGACTGGCTTAAGATAATTGAGCTAGGATGGTGGAGTTGGGATTGAAGCTTGCAGGGTCCTAGGTTCTTAATTATCATGCTGTCTTCTTAACAAAGCTTTCCAATTTCTTCATGATCTGGTCTCAATTTCTGCATTCCCATCTCTTACTACTCTCTTCACTTGATTTCTATACTCCAGCTCTAAAAAAATTATTTCAGTTCCTCAAAGGAACCAGGCCTTTTTGTTTTGTTTTGTTTTGTTTTTGAGACAGAGTCTTACTCTGTCACCCAGGCTGGAGTGCAGTGGCACGACCTCAGCTCACTGCAACCTTCGCCTCCTGGGTTCAAGTGATTCTCCTGCCTCGGTCTCTCGAGTAGCTGGGACTACAGGTGTGTGCCACCATGCCTGGCTAATTTTTAAGTTTTGTACTTTTAGTAGAGATGCAGTTTCACTATGTTGGCCAGGCTGGTTTTTGTTGTTGTTGTTGTTTGTTTTCTTTTGAGACAGAGTCTCGCTCAGCCACCCAGGCTAGAGTGCAGTGGTGCGATCTCAGCTCACCGCAACCACTATCTCCCCGGTTCAAGCAATTCTTCCGTCTCAGCCTCCCAAGTAGCTGGGATTACAGACACCTGCCATCATGCCCAGCTAATTTTTCTATTTTAGTAGACACAGGGTTTCACCATGTTGGCCAGGCTGGTCTTGAACTCCTGACCTCAGGTGATCCACCCGCCTCGGGCTCCCAAAGTGCTTGGATTACAGGCGTAAACCACCGTGCCCAGCCAGGCTGGTCTTTAACTCCTGGCCCCAAGTGATCCGCCCACCTCAGCCTCCCAAAGTGCTGGGATTACAGGCATGAGCCACCGTGCCCACTCTAACTAGAGAGTTTCTGTTTTTTTTTTTTTTTTGACACGGAGTCTCACTCTGTCACCCAGGCTGGAGTACAGTGGCACAATCTTGGCTCATTGCAACCTCCGCCTCCCAGGTTCAAGCGATTCTCCTGTCTCAGCCTCCCAAGTAGCTGGGATTACAGGCACGTGCCACCACCCCGGGCTAATTTTTGTATTTTTAGTAGAGATGGAGTTTCACCATGTTGGCCAGGCTGGTCTCAAACTCCTGACCTCAGGAGATCACTCACCTAGGCCTACCAAAATGCTGGGATTACAGGCCTGCGCTCCCGCACCCGGCCTAACTGGATATTTTTAATAGAGGATCCTCTGCCCAGAGCACTCCTTCCCCTCCCCTTTTCCTTCTTTCCTTAACTAGCTAGTTCCTACCTTCCTTCAAGGGTGGCTCTATGAAGCCTTTGCTGACTCCTCCAATCTGGTTTAAGTGACTTCCTATGCCCTTTATGGCATTCTGTCTTACTACCATGATGAATACGATGCATTATCATTGCCTGCTAACTTATTGTCCAGACCAGAGTTAGAAATGCATCTCTTATTCACCACTGTACCTCTCTCTGGTAATATAGTAAGCACTAAATAAATATTTAGTGCATATAATAAGCACTAAATAAATATTTGTTGAATTAAGAGTCTTTAGCAAGAAAGTCAAGTGCCTTAAGCCTAGAGTATAGTTTCAGCCTGGAAAAGAGTAGCCAATAATGCCTAATGGACTCAAGTGGTCACAAAATGCCATCATTGAGAAGGGACGTTCAAAGATCACAGAACTGAATACATGGAAAAAGCTGAGATTCAGGAGGAGACCTGAGGTGTCCAAAGCCACAGAGAAAAGCAGCAACAGCAGCAGTACAACAATTTTGGCTCAAATCTGACTTCTAAGCTAGTTCGCAGGCTGTAAGTTCAGTGCAGAAGGCCAATCTCTAGGGTATCCACCTCTGCCATGCGGGCAGATTAAGATCCGGTTTCTGTAGAGCAGGCTTAGCGCTCAGGTAAGGGATATGTATGGGTTTGCAATTGATGAGTGAGTGGATAGAGAGTCTGGTTTTGAGTTCCAGGTCTGAGATCCAGTTTGGGTCGCGGGTTCAGGTCTTCCTCCCTCCCCTCCCCTCCCCGTCGGCGCACTCACATGCCACCCTGTGAATGACCCAGAAGGTGATGCCCACCTCCGCCAGGCAGAGGCAGGCGGCCACCAGCAGCGTGTAGCGCGGCTCCCGCAGCAGCAGGCGCCGCTCTTGCCAGGCGCGCTGCAGCCATTGCTTGCAGAGTCCCGCTGCCTGGGCCGCGGAACCGGACCGGCCGCGTTTCCGCAGCCCAGCGGCCATCTTAACGGTGCACCGCTTGTGTGGGCCCACCACCCGCGGAAACCCGAACCTTCGACACTTAGGTTCCGCTTCCCGCGCCTGGCGTCCCACCAGGCTAAGCGCCGATCCGGGTAGCCAGTCTTCATTTACTCCACTAAAATGTAATTTTTCCTCTACATTTGTCTCCTCTGATGCACTCCACGCTCCATAGGAGCAGGAACAATGTCTTACTCCTCAGTTTATACCCAGCCCTAGGTACACAGGCGCTAATTTAGAACGAATGTCCAGAAAAGCAACATTCCTGCCTACCTCCGCTACAGTCCCTGAAGCCAACATTCTACTTCGCCTACGCTGGGAACATCTCTGTTCATGCTGTCTCTCCAGGAGGGCAAAGCCCTGTTCGCGCCCCTCCTGCCTCTGCTTAGAGCCTTCCGGATGCTGAGAAAAATGAACCTTTCACTAATTTTCAGACTTCCTAATAAAAGTAATTCACATTGAAAATATGAGAGGACGCAGTGATGAGCCCACGTGAGTCTGACACCATGAATGCAGCTCTAGGAAATGAGTTGGCAATACAGCCGGAGGATTCAGGGTCTGGACGATGGTTTTCCCAGCCGGAGGATTCTTCAAAGAGCGCTTAGTAAAGGACGGAAGTTCCACGTGTTTGTGTTGAGCAACTGCAGGTGGTGGGCGGAGACACCAGGGCCCAGCCTTCTGCATCCTGCCTTCCGTATTGGCTGAAGGGCCGGCGGCTCTGGCAGTCCCAGCGGCTGAGAGCATGGCTTCTCCAGGGGCCGGTAGAGCGCCGCCGGAGTTACCGGAGCGGAACTGCGGGTACCGCGAAGTCCAGTACTGGGATCAGCGCTACCAAGGCGCAGCCGATTCTGCCCCCTACGATTGGTTCGGGGACTTCTCCTCCTTCCGTGCCCTCCTAGAGCCGGAGCTGCGGCCCGAGGACCGTATCCTTGTGTTAGGTGGGTAATCCCGGCGCGGACCCGCCAGGTAGAGCTGGCAGGACCGGCGCCGCGCGGGCTTGGCCCGGTCCGCTTTCCTCCCGCCTGTCTACCCTCTTGGAGGACGCCTGAGTTGGGACGCGAGATCCAGCTCCTTCAGAGTCCCGGCTGTATTTAGTCAAGGCAAATAGAGTAAGAGATTGTCGGTCCCGGGGCCCTCGGGAGAAAGACACCCCCTCACGGTTTGAGCGTGGGGGGTACCCAAGAAGACCGTGTCCGGACCCTCGGGAGGCAGGCAGCCTTGGGGACCGAATTGCTCAGAGGACCTAGTTCAAGTCCTAGCGCTAATTGACTTGTGTAACTTAGGACAAGTCATGAACCGGTTCTGAGCTTTAGATTCAGTTCTAGAAATGGAACTGCGAGTTCACATCGGAGGCGGCACGCGCAGGCACCTCGAGAATAATGCCCAGCGCTTTTCTTTTTACCCCTGGGCACTGGGAGCCAGAGTCATCTAGAGAGAGTCCTATCTGAAACTTGGTCCTATGCCTTAGAGAGTGAGAACAGCACCCTCTAAGGGTGGAGGGGAGATTGCCGCCCAGGGTGATGCGATTCCCCAAAGGGAAGACGTGCTGGAGGAAAGGTAGGGCTCTGGGGTGTTCGGCTCTCCTCTTGAGGTTCTCTCCTGCTGTCAACCTTGGAGGCGCTAGTAAAGTTTGAATGAGCAACAGGTTTTCTTCTAATTGTCGTTTTTACTTTGCTCTTTGTAAAAGCCTTTTTGTATGTTTAAGTGACGTCTTTAATAAATAAAAGATATATGTAATATAGTACATATGTAAGGTATAAATAACAAATCTAATGTGTGTGTCTATTCCACTCAGTTTGAGAAATAGAACATTACTAGGGATAGAAAAAAAGTATAATTTAGTGGTTAAGAACTAGACTGGGCGCGGTGGCTCACGCCAGTAATCCCAACACTTTGGGAGGCCGAGGCGGGCGGATCACCTGAGGTCGGGAGTTCGAGATCAGTCTGACCAACATAGAGAAATGCCATCTCTACTAAAAATACAACAGATTAGTCGGGTGTGGTGGCACATGCCTGTAATCCCAGCTACTTGGGAGGCTAAGGCAGGAGAATCACTTGAACCCGGGAGGTGGAGGTTGTGGTGAACCAAGATCGTGCCATTGCACTCCAGCCTGGGCAAGAAGAGCAAAACTCCATCTCAAAAACAAAATAAAACAAAAAGAACCTGGACTGTGGGCTGGGCTCATGGTTCACGCTCGTAATCCCAGCACTTTGGGAGGCCAAGGTGGAAGGATCACTAGAGTGCAGGAGCTCAAGACCAGCCTGGGCAACATAGTGAGATCCCATCTCTACAAAAAATTTAGGTCAGAGTGGTGGCTTATGCTTGTAATCACAACACTTTGGGAGACCAAGGCGGGTGGATCATTTGAGGTCAGGAGTTCAAGACCAGCCTGGCCAACATGGTAAAACCCTGTCTCTACTAAAAATACAAAAATCAGCCAGGTGTGGTGGCACGTGCCTCTAATCCCAGGTACTTGGAAGGCTGAAGCAGGAGAATTGCTTGAGCCCAGGAGGTGAAGGTTGCGGTGAGCCAAGATTGCACCACTCCACTCCAGCCTGGGCAACAGAGTGAGACCGTGACTCAAAAAAAAAAAAAAAATTAAAAATTAGCTGGGTATGGTGGCCTGTGCCCATAGTCCCAGCTACTCAAGAGGCTGAGGCAGGAGGATCATTTGAGCCAGGAGATCCAGGCTGCAGTGAACTGCGATGGCTCCACTGGGCTCCAGCCTAGGTGACAGAATGAGACCCTGTCTCAAAACAAAGCAAAACAAAAAACAAACAAAAAACCATCTTGGACTCTAGAGGCAGTGAATGATGTTGGAATCTTGGCTCAGCTTTTACTGGCTGTGTAATCCTGGACAAAATACTTGAATTTCTGTGCTTCCATTTTCTCAACCTTAAAAACATAAGCATATTTATTAGTTGGGCTTTAAGATGATTAAATGAGCATGAAGTATACCTAAAACAATGCCTGGCAAAATGAAAAATATATTCAAGGTTCTCTGTGTGGTCCTCCTAAAACCCCTTCTCCCCACAAGTAAACACTTTCTTGAATCTGTGATTTTAAACCATTGCACTTATTTATTAATTTACCATAGATCTATGTTTTCTCAAGCTTTAGTGTGTATCAAAATGACCTGGAGAGCTAGATTGCACTGTGAGATTCTAATTCCAGGGATGGTCTAATGGGGGTCTCAGGAATCTGTATGTTCAACAAGCTTCACAGCAGATTCTTATGCTGGTGATTGGCAGAGTAACACTGCCTTAAAATCTACTTGATTGGTTTTTCACCAAACTGATGCTTTAAAAAAAATCTGCGCCGGGCACGGTGGCTCAAGCCTGTAATCCCAGCACTTTGGGAGGCCGAGATGGGCGGATCACGAGGTCAGGAGATCGAGACCATCCTGGCTAACACGGTGAAACCCCGTCTCTACTGAAAATACAAAAAACTAGCTGGGCGAGGTGGCGGGCACCTGTAGTCCCAGCTACTCGGGAGGCTGGGGCAGGAGAATGGCGTGAACCCGGGAGGCGGAGCTTGCAGTGAGCTGAGATCCGGCCACTGCACTCCAGCCTGGGTGACAGAGCGAGACTCCGTCTCAAAAAAAAAAAAAAAAAAAAAAAAAAATCTGCTTGACTGGGAACTATCCTTTTCTGGATAGGAAGGGCAAAAAGTCTAAAAACCAAAAGGGGAATTTCTAGAATCGCCAAGATGTAAGAACAGGACCCACAACTTGGGGAATACTCTACATTACATTCCACCTCAACAAACTTAAGTTGAATGCCTGATAAGAGCCAGAGAACGTGCTGGGCCCTTTCTAACTTACTTAATCCTTATGACAATCCCTAAAGGCAAGTCAAAAGTATTAAGAGACTTACTCTAGGCTAGGGGTCTGTAAACTTTTTTTGAAAATGGCCAAACAATAATTTAGGCTTTGCAGGCTACACAGTCTCTTTTACAATGACTCGGTTCTGCTGTTGTAGTGGAGAAGCAGCTACAGATAATACAAAAGTGAATGAAGGCCGGGCGGGATGGCTCATGCCTGTAATCCCACCACTTTGGGAGGCTGAGGCGGGCGGATCATCTGGGTCAAGAGTTCCAGAGCAGTCTGCCCACCACGGTGAAACCCCATCTCTACTAAAAATATAAAAATCAGCTGGGTATGGTGGCAGGCACCCTTATTCCCAGCTACTGCGGAGGCTGAGGCAAGAGAATTGCTTGAACCAGGGAGTCGGAGGTTGCAGTGAGCGGAGATTGTGCCACTGCACTCCAGCCTGGGTGACAGATTGAAACTCCATCTCAAAAAAAAAAAAAAAAAAAAGTGAATGAGAATAGCCATGTATCAATATAACTTTACAAAAACAGGTGGCAAGCTGCATTTGGCAACCCCTGCCACTCACTGTCTTAGATTGAGTTCCCCAGAAGCAAATCCTGAGATGAGGATTCATGTCCAAGTTACTTGTTAGGAATGTGCTCCCAGGAGAATTGGTAAGAGCTAGAGGGAACAGGAAAAGGAAAGAAGCGAAGTTTCCCTGAAGGTTGTTTCAGGCTGAAGAGTCACAGATGTACACCATTAGAAGCAAACACACACCAAAACCTAGGGATATAAAAATTAAAATGGGTAAAAAGACTCCCAGAGCATCTAGTCAGAACACTGACAGTGTCCACTACTGTCATGCAGCAAGTAAGTGGTGAAGTAAGTGTGCTTTGTGACACCACACAGATGGGTGTAGGGAGGCACCTAGAACTCTTAAAACTGGTAAAATGACTACATTGTGAATTATAGCCTTATGGTTATATCGACATAGCTAACAATGGGATGTCACAACTGAAGGTGAGTGGGCCTCTTGAAAACTGGGAGGCAGTTGAACACAGTGGTTTCAGAGCTCTGGCTCTGGAGCAATAGAGACCTGTGTCCAAATTCTGGCTCTTCCACTGACTATGTGACCTTGAGAAAGTTTCTTACCACTTTCCTCAATTTTCTTATGCAGAAAATGGGAATGGTAATAATAGTATCTTTTTTTTTTTTTTTTTAGACAGAGTCTCGTTCTGTTGCCCAGACTGGAGTGCAGTGGTGCAATCTTGGCTTACTGCAACCTCCGCTCATGGGTTCAAGCGATTCTTCTGCCTCAGCCTCTCGAGTAGCTGGGATTACAGGTGCCCACCATCACGCCTGGCTAATTTTTGTATTTTTAGTAGATGGGGTTTCACCATGTTGGTCAGGCTGGTCTGCAACTTCTGACCTCAAGTGATCTGCCCACCTTGGCCTCCCAAAGTGGTGGGATTATAGGCATGAGCCACCGTGCCCAGCCAATAGTATCCTTTATATGGCTCTACTGTGAAAGTAAACTGCAATAATTCTTATAAATGCTTAACATAGTACCTGGTGTTCAATGACTGTTAGCTATTATTATTTTTATTGAAAATGGGAATCAGAGAAGCAGTTTATCCAGGACTGTTCAGAGAACAGAGTACCCTGTGGGAGGACTCGTGTGTCTGGTCCCTATGGCTAAAATATCCTCATAGCAAATGAATATATGTGAATGGCTGGCCCCACTTGGCTGTTATTGTGCTTTTCTGATTTGCTGTGCTTGCTTGACTTCATGCTCTGTAGGAATCTTCTTCTTGTTTTTTTAGAGACAGGGTATTGCTCCGTCCCCAGGCTGGAGTGCAGTGGTGTGATCTTGGCCCACTGCAGCCTCTTGAACTCCTATGCTTAAGGGATCCTTTGGAATCTTTTGATCATAATCAAAAATTAATTTGGAAGCGGCCAGGCATGGTGGCTCATGCCTGTAATCTCAGCACTTTGAGAGGCTGAGGCGGGCAGATCACGAGGTCAGGAGATGGAGACCATCCTGGGTAACATGGTGAAACCCTGTCTGTACTACAAAAAATACAAAAGAAATTAGCCAAGCACCTGTAGCCCCAGCTACCCAGGTGGCTGAGGCAGGAGAATAGCGTGAACCCGGGAGGCAGAGCTTGCAGTGAGCTGAGATCGGGCCACTGGACTCCATCCTGGGCGACAGAGTGAGACTCCGTCTTAAAAAAAAAAAAAAAAAATTAATTTGGAATCAATTTGACTTCCAATTTAGATTTCCTATAAAGAGAAAAGGGACTGGCCAGAGGATTCAACTCCAGTCTCCATGATGGCTATTTTTCTTGTTATAAGTTAGTAAATTGGCATTCTGGCTTATATTTCAGTCTCTTGGTGTTGAGTTAGGATCCACACAGCTCTGGGCCCTCATGTGATGTATTCTTGGATATGGATCAATTCTCCAAGGCTCTACTTCCCTCAGGCCCCACTTTGGAAGGCAGTGGCTTTCCCAAGCCCCTTCTTACTTGCTGGCCCCAAATCTCTGAGTCAACAGAATCAAAAGTCACTGCTTGTAAGCATGACTGCCCCAGTGGTCAGCTTTTGTTCCCCCTTCACCTTTGGTAAAGTTCTCTTGGAAGATGCCATCCTGTGCTAAGGAGAACAAAGGAAGGAAATCTGGATTTGTCCACAGTTTGGCAGAGCTCTACAGGTATATGAGGTCAGGTGTGGGGGTAATGAAGGGATTGTGGGTCAGCAAACCCAGTGGGATTTCAGCCTGGAACTAAGTCAGGTTCTGCCACCCTTACCCCCATCCCATGTGCTGTATCTACCAGGGCTTTTTGTGGCTTCAACTTTGGGAAGCACGTGTTGGGTTCTCCTAGGCAAGATAGTTTTCCTTGAGCCCCAGGGCTTGAAGAGGAACATGAGAAGGGGCAGCTGGGGAGCAGCCAGCTGCTTCTGGGTACGTTGTCCGGGTGCCAAACCCTGATAGATTAGGGCTATCCCAACTGCTGATCCTGTGATCCTCTTAGGGAGGCAAGTGGGGATTAAAGGAAACCTAATCCCAAGAGCTGAAGATCCCCAGCCTGGGGCTGCTCCCAGCTGGGACTGGCCATAGGAGGGCCTAGAAGAGGCCACTGGATCTTCTAAGGAAGTCATGCCCTTTGGACTATAGATCCACATCCACTCCTCTCACCTCTATCCCTTCTCCATCCTGACCCTACCCACTTTGGGACTGCTTTCCAGGCACTTCCCACCAGAGTGTTGAGAAGTTGTCAAGACTCTGTTTTTCAAGACTTTGCTTGGTTGTCACCTCCCTGGAAACTTTTGGCTGACTCACCTGAGGTGAGGTCCAGACCCTCCTGTGTGCTCTCACAGCCTGTCCCTATTGAAACACTCATCATGTTTTGCAGCAACTGTCTGATTACACATTTGTTCCTCCTACTGGAGCAGGAGCTCCTTGAGGACAGGGACATTTATTCATTGGCAGAGCCTAATATGTAGTGCTCAATACATATGTTAAGAATTGCAGCCAGGTGTGGTGGCTCGTGCCTATAATTCCAGCACTTTGGGAGGCCGAGGCAGGTGGACCACCTGAGGTCAGGACCAGCCTGACCAACGTGGTGAAACACTGTCTCTACTAAAAATACAAAATTAGCTGGGCGTGGTGGTGCGTGCCTGTAATCCCAGCGACTCAGGAGGTTGAGGCAGGAGAATTGCTTGAACCCGGGATGCAGAGAGCCAAGATTGCGCCACTGCGCTCCAGCCTGGGCAACAAGAATGAAACTCTCTCTCAAAAAACAAAACAAACCAAGCAAACAAACAACAAAAAAATGTCGCAAGGAAGTGATTGGCTCCACTGTGTGTCCCCACCTAGTTTCCCCTTCACTTGTTAATTCTGTTTTGGAAAACAAAGTAGAATAACCCCTAACATGAAGCCTTCCCAGGGTTGATACCTTCTAAGGTTTTCTAAGAGGCTGGGGATTAGGATAATGCTAACTTATATCATTATTATGCTACCAATGATGTTGCGGTCCTAATGATACCAGTATTATCCCCATTTTGAATTTGAGGAAACTGAGGCTCAAAGAGTTGAATGATTTGCTGTGGCTGTGTGACTAGGAATATCAGAACCTTAATCTCTGAACTCCTAACTTTAGAGCTCCTTCAGCTACTCTACAGCTCTTAGTTCTTTTCTTTTCTTTCTTTTTTTTTTTGAGACGGAGTTTCGCTCTTGTCACCCAGGCTAGAGTGCAATGGCATGATTTTGGCTCACTGCAACCTCCGCCTCCTGGGTTCAAGCGATTCTCCTGCCTCAGCCTCCCGAGTAGCTGGGATTACAGGCATGTGCCACCAAGCCTGGCTAATTTTGTATTTTTAGTAGAGATGGGGTTTCTCCATGTTGGTCTTGAACTCCTGACCTCAGATGACCCGCCCTCCTCAGCCTCCCAAAGTGCTGGGATTATAGGCGTGAGCCACCGCGCCCGGCCCCTAGTTCTTAGTTCTTAAGTTTAATGCATCACATCCTTCATATGGCCTAGGTATTATTATCTTCATTTTTCTGAATAGGATATCCAAGTTTTAGCCAGGCGTGGTGGCACACACCTGTAATCCCAGCTCCTCGGAAGACTGAGGCAGGAGAATCACTTGAACCCGGGAGGTGGAGGTTGCAGTGAGCCGAGATTGTGCCTCTGTACTCCAGCCTGGGCGACATCTCAAAAAAAAAAAAAAAAATCCATGTTTCTAGTATTTAAACAACTTGTTCCAGCCCACACAGCTAGGAGTGAGAGAGCCAGGGTTTGCACCCAGGCCTGTGTGATTCCAAGGCTTGTGCTTTTTCTGCACTCTACCACCTCCTCTCAGTACTGGAGGGTTTGGACTGAGAGAAAACGGTGCCAAGAGTGGATAGATATTCAGGGGAGGTGAGAACCAAAACTAACGTAGCTCTTTTGCCACCCATCCCCTCCCACCCCAGGTTGTGGGAACAGTGCCCTGAGCTATGAGCTGTTCCTTGGAGGCTTCCCTGATGTGACCAGTGTGGACTACTCGTCAGTCGTGGTGGCTGCCATGCAGGCTCGCTATATCCATGTGCCGCAGCTGCGCTGGGAGACCATGGATGTGCGGAAGCTGGACTTCCCCAGTGCTTCTTTTGATGTGGTGCTCGAGAAGGGCACGCTGGATGCCCTGCTATCTGGGGAACAAGATCCTTGGACCGTGTCCTCTGAAGGTGTCCATACTGTGGACCAGGTGTTGAGTGAGGTGAGGGAGCAACGAGACAGGAAGGCAGATCAATAGGTGGGGCTGTGGGGTTGAGGTTTCATGGGACTGGAAGAAATCAGAAGCCAGAAGCATGTTTTGGAACAAGTAGTGGGTTGCCCTCAGGAGTGTGGCTCTCTGAAGGAAGGGAAGGGTTAAGCGGGGTTGAGATTATAGAGGTGACTGGAATAGCCAGGCTCACAAAGGCTGATGTGTGGCTACTAGGTTGCCATAGGGATGCGGTAGCCAGGTTCGTGATGGGTGACAGAGACTGCCAAGGTGAGCAGTTATAGGAAAGTGGTGCCCCTGTACCTGATATCACTCCTATACCCCTCCCTGAATAGAATATAGCCCTAATCCCAAGGAATGACAGGGCAGAGAAAGTGGCTCACTCTTTGCCATGGAAAGCCTGAGCTACAGATGAGGGGTGGTTCCTAAGGTTTGACTGGGAGGGCATCTGGAGCAGTACTGACCTTTGAGAACCTGAAGATCCACTTCTCACCAATGGCTTCTGTGTCTGCCTTGCAGGTGAGCCGCGTGCTGGTCCCTGGAGGCCGGTTCATCTCAATGACTTCTGCTGCCCCCCACTTTCGGACCAGACACTATGCCCAAGCCTGTTATGGCTGGTCCCTGAGGCATGCTACCTATGGCAGCGGTTTCCACTTCCATCTCTACCTCATGCACAAGGGCGGGGAGCTCAGTGTGGCCCAACTGGCTCTGGGGGCCCAAATCCTCTCACCCCCCAGACCACCCACCTCACCCTGCTTCCTTCAGGATTCAGATAATGAGGACTTCCTTAGTGCCATTCAGCTCTGAGGCCAGAGCATGGTCCACCCTTCCTGCCATTCTGCCCTGGGCTCCTCAGGTAGTTGGAATTCCTGACTCAGGACTTGGGGTTGGGTCCAAGGTGCTTACATCCCAGGGGCCTCATGCCTAAGATAGAGGGTGGGAGCAAACCCACATGAACCAATACAGCCCATCTCCAACTAGATCCCAGATTTCTTGTTTCTTTCTTGGGTTCCTCAGTTCTCTCCTGGGTTCCCCAACGTCCTCTGCCACCACACCAAGCCAGCAGTGATGCATCCCCTGGGGCAAAGCTCAGCATAACCCCTCTGCACACCAGCCAGCCTGGAGACCTTTGTCCCTGGGGCCTGTTACTGATCCTCATCTAGCCTTGATTTTTCCACAGGAGACTGCAGATTTTGAACCTAGATTGCTTTATGTTTCTCACCCCAGCTCCATCCCGAACACTGGTGACCAGTCCCACCTGGGTTGTATCTGTACCCAAGGAGGCCACATCATAATGATGTTCCCAGGCCAGGCTGGCCTGCCTGTCTTACTTGACAACCATCCCTCACCAGCAACATGCACCTGAGATTCCCAAGTACCTGCCCCTCCTCCCATTTTGGCCTGGCTCCTGAGACCTAAGCAGCGGCCACACACACACACGGAGGTCTGTGTTTATTCACACACTCCTGGTACAGTGAGGATGGAGGAGCATTTACAAAGGGCACCCCTGGGTTGAGAACATCTCCAGGGCCACAGATGTCACCCAGAGGTGCAGAGCAGTCCCCAGTTGGGTTCCCAGGGGCAAGACGCAGGGGTCCAAGGCAAAATCGGATCTGGGCCCTTGGAAGGTGATGATACCTTGGGGAGAAGGGGTCTGCCAGAGAGCCTTCTTGGGTCAGGCCTGGGCAGACTGGCCATGTGGTTGGTAACCGTGTTGGGGGGCTTGTCTCACCCCAGCCTCAACACCCATCCTATCTGCCAGGCGCAGAAGAGCGTGGCCGAGACTGAGGGGAGGGCAGGAACCATGAGCAGAGCCAGTAAACAAAGAGTCGGATATAAAAATACAAATGTGCTGAGGAGGTCCCTTAGAAAGAGGCTGAGGCTGGGGTCACGCCAGACAGGGGTGGGGGTGAGGAACGGCCCGGAGGACTGGGCTCAGGTGGGTAGAAAGCTCATGCAAGTACGCAGCCAAACATCCCTGGCCGCTCGCGGTCCGACACCGGCGGCCGCCCGGTCTGCAGACCAGACTGGCCGGAGGGGGGCGGGGCAGGGGAGCCGTGCGGGAGGGGGCGGGCAGGGGGCTGGGGGCCGCGGGTCTCCGTGTCCGTTCCGGTGTGCGGGGTGGGGCTGCGGCCCGAGGTTTTAAAGTGCATGAGCGCGGCGGCGGGTTCCGGGCGGGTCCGCGCCGCCGCTACCGCGGCCGCCGTGGTGCTGAAGCGGACAGCTCCGGAGTGCCTGGCGGCGGCGGCCGCACGGCCCTGCAGCCCCCGCCCGCGGGCGCCTGGGCCGGAGGCGGGAGCGCCGGCAGCGCATTGGCCGGCCCGCGCTCCTGGCCGCTGCGGGGCTGGGCCCGGAGCCCGCCGCCCGAGCCGGCACGTCTACACTCCGGACGGCGGCTTCTCCCCCATCCCCTTCAGCACGTCGTCTATCCGGTCATCCTCGATCACCACTGCGCAGGGAGAAAGCGCGTCAGCCGCGCGGCCTCGGGGGGCGGCGGCGAGAATGAGCCCCGCGTCCTAGCGTCCCGCGCAGCTACTGCCCGTGGCCCAGCGACGCCCCTCGGAACCCTGCGCTGCTGTGTCCTCCCCGTCCGAACTCTCCTGGAGACCCAACCCGTCGCCAAGCCTCGGTCCCACAGACCCCCTCCCCTTCCGATGGCGGAACGCCCCTCTTCCAAAGGCTCTAGCTATTCTGCCTCCCAGTGCGAGCCCTCCTGACACCTGAGCCTTCCTCCCTCTGAGTTGATCAGAAACCTCTTGCTCATGGAATCCCCCTCTTCAACCTGCACTTCAACAGATCCCCCTCCTCAAATGGGGCTCAAACCGAGTATCCAGCTGGTCCAGCCCTCTCCTCAACCTGAGACCTCTCGCCGCTGGAACCCCTCTTCCGATCCTGGCACCAACAGAGCTCCCCTCCCCATGCAAACAACCAAGACAAGCGGACCCCCGGCCTCCTCCCCTCTCTTGTTAGACGCCCCTCTCGACCCGAAGGTTCTTCGTATTGTCCACCGACTCAGTATTTGATCCCAAAGAATCAGCCCGTTACCCCGTGTTCCCACTTCCAAGCAGCCCCAAATGCCCCGACCGGCCCCTCCCCCTCGCCCGGGTGCCAGGGCTGTGCTTCCAGAGGTGGCGAGCATCGAATCCGGGGCACCGTGTTCCCGGGAGAAGGGAAGAGGGGGACACACACTGCAGCGGGGACCCCCCCTCCAGCCCGGGCCGGAGAGCGGCTGGTGCGCTGGTCTGCGGCAAGAGCTGCGGGCACTCGGCGGGGAATGGCAGCCGGGGGGCGCCCGGCGGAGGGTTTCTGGGTCAGGCGGCGACTCCGGGCCCGGGCCGCGTACCTCGCTTGGCTCGGCCGATCTGGCCCAGCTTGGGGGGTCGCTTGGCCTGGTTGCCCGCGAAGAAGGAGTTGGTGTCCTGCAGGCGGCAGCTGAAGGAGAGGTCGGAGCCCTCGGGGTCTGCGCCGAAGCGGCCCATCTTGTCTTCGCTGTAGGGCAGGATCTCGGACATGGCGGGCGCGGGGTGGGCGCGGGGCGGGAGTGGGACTGCGGCGGGGCGCGGGCGGCGGGCTTGCTGCCGGACCGGCCCTAGCTCAGCAGGGGAGCCGGCGGAAGGATGAAGTCATGCAGCATCCGGGGCTGAGGAGCCAAGCGGGGCCTCCTCCCCCGCGCCTCCGCCTCCCGGGCCGCTGGGCAGGCGGCGGCGGCGGCGGTGGCGGGGACCGGGCGGGGGCGGGGGCGGGGGCGGGGGACGGGGGTGGCGGCGGCGGCGGCAAGAGCGGAATGACGATGAGCGCCCGACTGCGGCAGAGCACGGCGGGCGGGGCGCGGTAGAGGCGGGGCGGGCACTGGCCAGGAGAAAGAGGCGGGGCCGGGGGCAGGAGCGCGCCCAGCTACCCGAGGAGCCGAGGCAGCTGGAGTGGGAGGTTCCTGCACTGTGGCGGGGAATGACCGGCACGTGGGTCTTGGGGAATAGTACCAGCCAACCCGGCCAGGACCTCGCGGGGAGAGGCGGGACCGGAGGGGGGTGGGATCCAGCCTGGTACTGGAGGAGCTTGGGGGAGGGTCTGACCCCTAGGCTGGAAGAGGCGTGCAAGGGGAACTGGGAGCAGGGGGCCAAAAGCTGACCAGGCGCGTTGGGGCGGGAAGGCGGCCGCAGGGCTGGCAATGGAAAACGGGGAGCGGGAAACGCGTGGGGAGGAGACTCGGGTACAGGGTGACTGGGGAAGGCACGAACCCACAGCGCGGGAAGAGCTCGGGCCAGTGGATGGTGCCCTCGCCGCTGGCGCGCTCTTATACTAGTTGCTCTGCTGGTCTTAAGTAGATATTCAGGGTCTGTGCGTCTCTGACTGCCCGTCTGTGTCTCTTTCTCCACCTTTATATGTGTCAGTCCATCTCTAAGTGTCTGTATCTCGATCTCTGTGCCCCATATCTCTTTCGCTGTGTTATGGCCTTTGTCTATGCCTGTCCCTTAAGTGTCTTTACCTTTCTCTGTCTATCTCCATTCTTGGCTCCTGTATCTATGTGCCACAGTATCTCTGTCTCCTGAATCTGGGTATTTCAGTCTCTCCTGGGAGGGGTCTATAGTAACTGGGCCGACGCAGCGCGCACCAGGGCAGACATCCCCAGCCCTAGCCCGGTGGCTGGCGCCGAAATGCGGACTCGAAGAGCCCGCCGCGCCCTGCGGCTCCCCCGGCTCTGGAGTGGTGCGCTCGCAGTGTAGGAGGAATGAATGGCGGCGTCGCGGGGGGCGCCCTGGCTGCTGGTGACGCGGGGAAGCTCGGAGCACCTGAGGACGCGGAGCGCGCCAGTGTGTGCCCTGAGGGAGTGCGGTAGAGATGGAGGGTGCCCCCCGCCCTCGTTGCTTGGGACCACGGGTGAGTTCTCGCCTCACCGACGCGAACATGCCCTCTTCTCCCCTTGCCTCCCGCCCCCACAACCCCCGCCCTGCCTGGCCGTCACCCGCGGCGTCACCTGCTTGCCAGCGCGCAGG